ATTAATATTTTTAGAATTAAAAGTTAAGTTTATATATAATACTACTAATTAAGATGATGAACTATAATTTTTTCAATCTAAATGAATTAACTATTTATTTTTATACAAAATGATTAATAAAGCATGTATTTTATTTCATAGAAACAATTTAAAAAGTTCATAGTCGCTTTTAATTTAATTAAATTAAAAAGATATTTGCAATACTTTATAAAATTATTAGGAATCGAATTATCTGGTTCAATATTTTCTTCATTTAAATTACTGGTTTTAGTCAATATTAGAGACTAATAACCATGCTCTTAAGATAATCTTAAAAATATTTTTGAAGGAAGAAAACATTGCATTTGTCTGCGAAAAGGTTTCATAATTACCAAGTTGACAAGCATACTTAGTTTCAACTTCCAACCACTAAACATTACTATGTCACACCTATCACCCAAAGAAAGTAATAAGCCACCACCAATTAATTTATATATAAATAGGTAATTAATTAGTTTTTAAGAAAATCATGGAAAATTACTGCCAACAATTTTTCCACGTTTTGTCTGCTTGAGAACGTATTTTTACATGTATATCAACTTACGTCATTATGAATTTAATTGTATACATTGTTAGAGTGTAAAGATATTTTTTCACACCGTTAACTAATTATAATATACAATAAATATAATATACGAGTATGGTAATCTATAATTGGTCGAAAAAGTAAAAGGAAAACTGAAAAATATATTAGGATAAATTACTTTCTATTCAAAAAATCTGTATACTATCTTCTAGCAAATTTGTTTCATTTTAGGTATTATGTACTGGAGTTCAATTAAAATGTGCAGGCAATTTTATATTTACCGTACATGATCAAAATTAAAATAATACATACTCAATGATTGAATACAAAAAATTATCCAATTTTATATAAAACAAACTAGTGATTAAGTATTATTTACATAAAATTTGGAAACAATTAATTGACGAAAACGTTGAACAAGAATTCCTGTAGAAGTACAAACACGACCGTACAATACGATTATGTATACTAATTAATAAGTCAATTTATGGAAATAATGGATTCTTCAAACATAATTACGTGGGTCCCAATTGCCCACTGAGCAAGATTCTTGCCACTTAAGCAAACTCTGTTTTTGATTAACACTTGTTTTGTTTAAAAATAAAATTTGACTTCTGCTCATGATTTATAAATTTATTTACGAAATTGTATTTTGGATTTTGAGAGAAAAAGAATGGAAGAATGCATAAGCAATGATCTTAGTCACACCAATCATTTGGTCATTCCTTTGATCAATCTCCACCAACTCCATTTCATAGCAATTGAATAATACTACCATTGTTAGCAAAGTGGTGTGAAAAGAGCCACGACTTCATAGACATTAAACTAACAAATAAATAATGAATTGTACAATGTAATCTCGAAGGTTGTCCTTGTTGAATACGTCAGCTTATAAAACTTAACCCTAGGAAGGATACCACCAATTTCCTTGTTCATTTCAATTGCACAAATTTCAAGAAAATGTGATATATCTATTTATTAATTTATTATATATAATAAATAAATAAATAAATAAAAGAGAGTGACCACTGCACCAAGAAAGGTCAACTGTGTGAAAACAAAACCATGAATCAAAATTGACCCACCCAATTCAGATTTGGGTCATCACTATGGCCCACCCAAAAATTGCCTACTACTCCTCTTTGCACCGCCACAAAAGCAATTCAAAGAAGCCGTCACATATGCCCAAATGTTCGTAATATTAATGCAACAAATTCAATTTATCAATGGGTGATATGCTTCATGTGCACGGAAGCGAATTGATTTCAGTCAGTGGTTAAAGTATTATAAGTAATATGACCTTACGTACACTTAAATATTTTTTTTATTATTTATTATTATTTTTTATTTGAATAATTTGTTCTTCAACTAATTAGGTATAATTGTTAAAGACATTCTAATATTTAAGTTACTTTGGGTTTGGTTGGTTAAGTAATTAATGTTGTAATAAATGTTTATTAAAAAGTCTTAACAATTATATCTTCAATTTATATTTATAGTTTTCTTCATGAACCTCTAATTAGAATTGACTTAATTCTGTTTAAAATTGATTATTTACCTATTTAGATTAACTAAATGATTAGCTAATTTTGATCCTAATCGATCAGTCTCCTCTAGTTTGGACAATCGATTATGGCATTTAGACCTGTGTGTACCAGTTGATATACATACAGTAACAAGCCAGCCAAGCCTTGAGCTTGAATTAACACCACAAGTAAAAAGGATTTACTATTGCTCAGGTTATTCTTGGAAATATGACCGATGATGGAAGGTTGTGTGTGCTTTGTGAATCGTGCAAATACTTCACGAATAGTTATATCCGCTTCGCTCACCCTTGAAAATATGATTGTTGGTGATGGAGGATTGCATCGTTCCATAGTTTTTTCTTCTAGGATTACACATCAAACTCCATGGATGAGGTGAACTTCTGCCTGAGTATTCCTTCTTCACGAATTACCTTAAGTGGCCAACTCTGATGAGCTCCTCAATTTTATATCTTAAAGTCGAACATTCTTCAATAGTATGACCGAGGTTTTTGTGATAAAGGAAATCCTTGTTTCCATCGACATTGGGTGGGATCAACTTCTTCTTGGGAACGAACAATAAGTCAGCACTGAGTGTCACTTCCATCATTTTGGCCCGAGGCACACTCAACGGGGTGTAATTGCTGAAGCAGGGACCCATTGGTCTTTCTTTTCCCACAGATAGTTTCTAGTCCATCCATTTCTTTTCTCCTCTTGATGATTCTTTACGCATCTGCTTTCGAAAGTCCTTCATATCTTCCACCTCCATGTACTATGTCGCTCTCTGTCTTAGGTCGTTCATGTTCTCAGCAAGCCTCATGCATAAGTTGTGGCGAATAGTCTTGATCATAACTCCGTGATCAAATTATGCATGGCCACATCTGGGTTGAAGTTTTGGATTTGTAAAGACACATTTTCGACCTTTCCATGAAGGCTCAGATGGACTCTTCTTTCTCTTTCCTAACATTGACTAGAGTGGTCGATGTCAGGTGATGTCGTCAACTTATTGCTAACTTGGCTCTGAATCTCACTCAGATGGTCACAAAACAATTTATGGAGTTAGCCAACAACATAGAAAACCAGGCCATGGTTTCTCCTTTCAGAGAGATAGAGAAAACTAGACATCATATAACATTACTTGTAGTGTACAATGTCATTTGATTCATGAAGATCTAAATGTTATTGTTCGGGTTCGTAGATTCGTCATACTTGTCGAACATTGACATCCTCCAATTATCGGGCAAAGGGGTCTCCATGATATCTACGATAAATTGTAGCAGAGCGACCATGTTAATAGTTGCGAGGAGTGATGGTGTTTACTCATGAATAAACTACTTGCTTGGATCGTTCAGTGTGACTCCTCCTAGGTTTGCTTAGCTGGTCCTTGAAGAGTTGGGGGTGGATGACACATGACCTTTACCATCCTTCTCTCGTCAAATGATTTCATTATTAGCCTCTAATGCTTTTATTTCTTCCTCATATTTGCTCTACATCTAATCCATTTGCCTCTGCATTCTCCTCATGATTTCTATCGGGGTCCATTTGGTCGTTAACGATTTCCTTTGATGCTAGGTTGCTTATCATGTTTCTTATGGTTACCATGGGCTTCAGAAGTTTTCGCTGGTCCCAAATGGGTACCAAAATGTTTTGTGTGTAGAATCAAACGTTTACTTAAAACAATTTCCGTGTCACTTACTGTTCAATTGTTCTCTTTCTATTTAGATAATTTGTTCTCCAACTGATCGGGTGTACCTGATGAAGTCAATTCGGATTCAATATATTAAATAATTAATGTTGTAATAAATGTACAGTAAAAAGTTTCAACAACTATACCTTCCACTTTTATTTGTAATTTTTTTTTCATAATCTTCTACTTAGAATAAGTCTAATAACGACTCAATTTCGTTTAAACTTAATTACTTATTTTTTAAAATTAATTAAATAATTAACTGATAGTAACCTATTGATCTTCTCTAAGCTTGAACAATTAATTATATATCAATAGACACGTACACTATATTAAGGTTTTAAAATAAGATAAGCAAATGGTTAATTAATTTATTATAAATAATGTTAAAGCCATTTAAATATTTTATCGTATGTTATAATTGACATAAAATTTTTTTATGTTGAAACTGATTCAGATATTATAAAAAATAGTTTTAATAAAATGGTTAACAATTTAAAATCGAAAAGAAACATGAAGAACACAAACTTATCTTCAATATTTTTCTCAGGTCATGGAAAATGATACTTGAACAACCATTTTTGACAACATTTAGACACGCACACACGTGTCAAAATCTGAGTGGTCCAGTTAGAAAAATTAAATGAAAATGGACCACTCAGATTTTGACACGTGTGCGCGTGTCTAAATGTTATCAAAAATGGTTGTTCAAGTGTCATTTTCCCTAAGGTCATTTACAATGTTACTATACAAATATATTTTAAAAATATTTATATATTCTAATTATAAATTTTTACTGTGAATTAGTTCCGATTTATATGAAAATAACTTTTTCAAAAAAATTTAAGTTTGAATTTGGTAAATAAAAAGATATAATTGTAAAAGAAAGAAATACTTCCCTAGATTGAATTAATCAGATCATTTGCTGATAATATTTATGAATGATATTAATACAATTAATAAAAAAGTCTTTAGGCTAAATATTTGTTTTCATCTTTTAATTTTTTTAAAAATTCAATTAAATCCATAATTTTTATTTTATTCAATTAAGTCTCTATATTTTAAAAATATTTAATTTAATTATTTTCATTAGATTGACTTTAAGTTAATCTTTTTTCATGTCATGCCATATGTCACATGTCATCATGACATATGCCACAGTTTTTGGTATTTTCAAATTTTGTCCTATATACAGTTCAATACACCCGGAAGAATAATCCCACAATAGCATCACTAATTTTTATATTAACTTCTTACCTGATTATGTGCAATAAAGTACAGTTTTCCAAGCTATCCGAATAACTAACTCATGATAATTCCCAAAGGGTACTACCACAGGAGGAAGAAGTTCCGTGGTTTTCAATGACCTCCTAAATGTGAGTCCAGGCCAAAGAAATTCTGTTTTCTCTTTTGTTCTCCCTTCTTTGCCGCATAAAAAAGCAAACTCCTAAAAAGAAGAATGATGTAAGTCAATTCCTTTTTGTTTGTTTAAAAACGAGAGTGGCATAAATTAACTCATTCCATGCATCAGGGACCCCGGGAAGACACCAATGGCTGCAGTCTTGCTTCCTTGTAGGGACTTTCTTGCCATAGACAGATGGGTGGCCATCCTTCCGGAAATTGGTCAGTTTTGTGATATTTAGTAACTTCACTGGAACCTTCATTCCCTGGATCACTTCTTCCACTATCTTCATTTTCAAAGGATAGTTGTTCAGGATGGAACCATTAAAAGCTGGTTCAGTTTCACCGTTGCATGATCCGCCTGAGTCCCAGTCCCCACCCCTGTCAAATGTTCATTAGCAATGTTATTTGATTGAGAGCAAGTAGTGGTGGCGTAGAATTGGTTTCTTCTATTATTCTTTTCTCCATCTTTATGATGTCGATTAAAGCAATAAGTTTCCTATTTCTTTTCCGCAGACATGATCCTCAGTATTAATAGACTGGAAAGAGAAGGGGCCAAGGATTTTGATCAATAAATATATGTGAAAAAAAAAAAATACCTGAAATGGGCATTAGAATATCCGCGATAGTAGACAATCTGTTTACGTGGATTGATATTATTATCGATCCATTTTCCCCAGGTCTCCATAGCCTTTTTGTAAGCCTCCACTGCATCAAATTTTGGATATAGATAATCACCTTCTTTATAGTAATTTATCCTGCAAAAATCAGACACTATCACCTTTAAGGAATGAAAGACAAACCAATTAGCAACTGGTAGCAGTGAATAGTGAATAAAAACTAATAAGAAAAAAGGGACAAAAGAGTGACAATTCAAATTTTCTTAATTCATAGCTTTTGATACTATAGTACACATCAATCTTCCATGTTGCCAAGAGCAGTTTAGAACAATAGGGCAGCATTCTTGTGCAGAAAATGCTAGGATGAATCATTTAATTACTTAACCAAGCTAGAGTTCAATATACATGAGGAAAGAAAAACACAGTTTCCAAAAATTTATTGCATAAAATCAATGCATATATTAATCAAAGTATGAAATTAAAATAATTGCATCCTAACCCTCGAGCAGTTTTTCCATGAGTCCACCAGTGTCCAGTATTGAAGACAAGAATATCAGCCTTCTTCCAACGACCAGATGTCTTGTCAATCCGATCTATTGACAATGTAGGATTTGAGCTCCCTTGTGCATTAAGACGAATTCCTTCCTTCACAAGGAAATGAGATCTCACAAATATCACCGAGCAGTTATAGTCCTGTCCAAGTATTCCAAAATCTTAGCACAACATACTGCAGTCTGTCCATACACATCTTCTTGATACAGCAAAATAAAAATGTCCAGCTTCTTGATCATTTCATATACAAATTTCACATAATAATGCAAATACTGTACTTAATAGGAAGTTATGAAGTTTTAACTCAAAAAGCTGAATTAATTTTCTGGAAGAGGAAACAAATCTACAGCATAAGCTGGATTTATGCTTGCCAACAATTTTGATTCAAGTCAACTGGACCTTGAAGAGAAAAATTTACTAAGAAATTGAATAGACAAAAAATAATCTAAGAGAAAACAATAATATAAAGCAGATGATAGTATTAGTGCATATAAGTTAGAAGAAACTAAATATGCAAAATAAACTTTTACCACAAATTTAAAAACAAAGTAGCCCCTTCCTTTTGTTATTTTGTGTCCGTGTATCTCATACATTCTGCTCTTATTTTGCAGGCCCTCACGTAGTACGCATAGAATCGACTCAAATTGGTTTCGGTTCATAGAATCTCCAACCAGCATTATTCTTTTACCCTTCAGTCTTAACAGGAAGTCCGTGGCATTAAACCTTCAAGTAGAATATGAAAGAAATTAATGAAGCATATATGAATAGTTAACTTTTAAACTACTAAAAGATGCAGAGCAAAGGGTAACTGTTCAAAAACACTTTAGTATATGTAATTAACTGTTACATCACGCTATATTGTATATGAGATGCCTTTTGTCAACAGAAAATCATAAGTTGAACACTGGAAGAGATCAAATTTGTTTTATTAAGCTTTCATCTATCAACAGAAAATCAAAAGTTGAACATCTGATGAGAAAGAAAGGTCAAACCGTTTCTAACAGGCCACCCAATAACAACAGTTTCTATATGTATGCATGTTGTGTTTATAAGTTGACTGATATATTAACAGTTCAAGTATATAATAAACTGGGAAAGGAGAAAAAAAATCTTTTGCAATGGCTAATTTACATTACAAGATTAAAAAAAAGAATAGGATGCGCATTACGCGTGCTTGCTTCTTTGTATGTCAAGTTAAGTTTCCACACACCACCAAGTGAACAATTGTTTGAATCTTTTTAGAAATGTTCCCACGACCATTTTCATTAAAAATACAGATCCCATAACCTGAAAGCATTGCTCGTGCATGCTTCTTTGGGAACATCCCCATCAAGTTTATGCAAGAGAAGCATGTTTACTCACACTCTCTAAAGTTTCATAAAGTTCCTCATACTTGAACACATAAAACAATCCTTCTGAAACAGACCTCTATCTATTATGATCCTCATCGGAATAAAGGCATAAAATGCAACAGGCAACTGCAATTTTGTCACATGAAAGGTAGCGGCAATATATCCACTGGCACTAAAATTCCACATGACAAGAGAATTTCTTATCCGTCACTTTCCATAATTAGTCACATTTGTATGAAACTCCACTTGAGTAATATCTATGAAAACAGAAATAGATAAAAAATGTTCACGCTATTAAATAATTTTATTTGGTACGCTGCAAGAGGATTGATTCCGCATAAGTGCCTATGAAAATTAACTAAACACAAAAGCATCAGAAATTGGCAGATGAAGAAGAAGCAGCGAGAGTTTGTATGCGACCCCAAAATCAAGCAAAAATACCTGAAACCTGTTTAGCAACAAGCGTAGAAAAAAATGAAAATGCAACAGAGAGAGTACCTGGGAAGATCACAAGCATCCGGTTTCCAGCGCCATTTGGTGTAGAGCGTGTCGGTCCTTCCGTTAACTTTGCAGTCATAAGCCTCGTCCACGTAAGGGCACGAACCTGGTTGGTAAATCGGGTAGCTATCATCCCTCACCCACGTTCCCGTGAACAAATCGCACTCCTTCACATTCAACGCCGCATCGTCGCCAACAGTTTCATTTATTTCCGTTACCGGTTGGGCATCAGATTCAGCGTCGGTGACATTGTCAGTGTAACCGACGGTGAGGGTTTGAGTGGTGGCAGGGGAGGAGAGTGGGGGCGGAGGAGAAGGAGGAGGTGGAGGAGGAGGAGGAGGAGGTGGTGGTGGTGGTGGTGGTGGTGGAGGAGGAGGAGGAGGAGGGGAAATAGGTTGGACGTGGATGTAGAGATCTGGGTGAATGGGGGAAGCGGTGTGAAGAGTGGTTCTGGTGGAGAAGAAGACAATGACAGAAATGAGGAACAAGGCGAGGAAGAAGAGAGTGGGTACAGTGTAAGGCCTCTTCTGGGAAACCATCTTCCTTCACTCTCAAACATACCAACACCTTCCGACAACATACATGCCCAATCCTTTCCTCATTCAATCACGTTTTCCATTATTCTAATTACAAAACACCTTTTGTAACATAGATTCTATGTATAAGCAACTATTTTGGTTGTGATAATAATTGATAGGTCAATAACAGGTTCTAACTACAATGTTGTTATCGAATGGTATACTTATAAAGAAAATTTAGTAGTAATATTAGCCTAAAATATCTAAAGGGTATCTTGGTTTTCCCATAGATTTCAAACATAAGTGTTATAAAAAGACCGCAACAAACTTTCAGTGTTCTAGATAATGTTTATGCGTACTACAAAACTTTAAATTAAAACATAGATTACTAATCTGTTTGTAATAAGAATTTTTTTTATCATAATATTTATCATATTCATAGACATAAAAGTTATTAGTTGTCTTAATAACTTAAGAATCTTCCTACTGAAATTATAAAATCATACTATTGGTCTAATCTTTCAATCAGAACAATACAAACATTAGGATATGAAGGGTGTTACTCGTAATTATAATAGGAAAGAGTTTAGAAGCCTAGACATTGTCAAAGAGCTTTATGCCGGTATGTTTCAAAAAATTTCCTTGTATGAGAACTGTCCTCTTCTTTAATGGACTTTTAAAAATTGAAACACTTAAAATATCTAAAAATAGACTATTTGGTTTGGACTTTTAAAAATAGAAACCCTTAAATTGTCCAAATATAGACTATTTAAGTACCTATAAAAAGACTTGTTCTTTTCTTTACATACTTCCCTTAAGCTGCCTAAAAGTGAGTCGTTTAAGCATTCATGGAAAACTTTTTTTGTTATCTACAGTTAAATTATTACATCATGGATAGCCTCTCTCGTGCACTTATCTGAAGTTATATGTTTTTTTGCTGTAGCTTATCATGTACAATCAGAAATTTTTCAACTTGAAATCATTCTCTGTAGCACTAGTTGAACAAAAGATCCACTGTATAACACTGGCATATAATATAATGGTTTTGTTTTGTATATGTACCGAACTGATATTGTGCAAATTGAGAGAAAACTTATCGACATCAATTAGATTCATCTAATAATTCAATTAAGCTGAACATATTAATAATTAGAACTTTGATTAAGTCGAACCTAATTAGAAATGTATGAAAAAATCTATAAATAGAAAGCAAAATTATAATTGTTAAGACTTTTGAGAAACATATTTATTATAACATTTATTATAACGATAATGGTTAAACAATTTATTTTCTAACTAATTTAAGTATTAAAATATTTTCAACAAGTATACTCAATCAGTTGAAGAACACAAACAATAAGGGAATGAAAGAAGGAATGAAAACAATTAGAAGTGAAAACTCGAATCTATATATACAATATACCAAATCCTCACCTCCTCATTGTTCATGAAGCAGAAAACATACTGCAAAAAATGTGCCAAAGGCTTCTTTGGAGTTGTGTTGAAAACTTAAACCATGAGTAACACCTATCCCTAGAGTATGTGAATGTCATATTCAAATGCAGAGAACAATTGTTTCAATGATTCCTCTTCACCAAGGATACTAAATCTCATCCAACCTTCACAAAATAGCTTATAGTGAGCAACAATGATACCAAATCTCATTTAACCCAAATAAAATATCTTGTAGTATATTTAAATAGGAAATTTGTATAATTTTAAGATGGATTTATATGTCACTTTTATAGACACAAAATCAACTTGTAGTATATTTACCTACCACTTGTCATTAGATATTTTCTACCACACAACTTTTATGGGTCAATTACATACTACACTATTGGTAACTACAATTGTCTATACGTACATTATATCAATTTCAAAACTATATAAATCAATGCAACATTCATAATTCTTTGCTTTTAAAACTTAAATACAAACAAAATCATTTGAATTATTCCTTTATATATCTATATAATTCAATTTAATATTATCCAATCATATATTATAAATATAATATATTACACCTATTTACATATCAATAAATAAAATTATATATATATATATATATATATATATATATATATATTTATTGTGTGATGATATCGTATATACTTTTTTATCAACAAAAAGTATTATATCTATACTAGAGCACTAGGAATGTTCAAACATGTATACCTTAGAAGTTTACATATATTTATATGTGTGTTCTTGCCACTCCTAGTATCAAACCTTCACAACAAAATTTTGATTGTTTAGCGACTATCTGCATCATATATTTACAAAAATTGTGAGTCTTATAACTAGTCTGCTAGTAATGAGGCAGCATGACACCAACCAATCCTAACCTTTAGTTGTAAACCGTGACTTGGAAGCAGTTTCTTCAAAACCTGCTTTATGTATTGTCATAAAGATTTGTTATTTCATTAAATGTGCATAAACCATGTTATCACAAAAAAAAAACATGAGCTAAATATTGTTGTTTATCACAATTTTTTCATTAAATGTGCATAAACCACTGGTTGAATACTAATAATTGTGTATTCAAAATGATGTAACATCATGCTTTGGACAAAATACATCAACTCATTGGTTTGGAAAAATATTATCTTAAATCATATTTAACCAATTATAGAAATCTGAGTTGAATAACCTCACTTGACAAACTTTTGCAGCACTGGTGAACCATTAACCCCTGAAAGATATGACAGTATTACAAATTAAGCAACATATTTTTTACTTAAATAATTTTTGTAGCCTTCAAATAATTTTGACTGAAACAATAATATAAATAAATGGTGCAGTTGGGGAAAACAACATTATTTCACACAACAATTTCTAGGTCTTCATCTTTATTTAACTAGCATATATATGCAGATAAGGTGTTTGGGCCCATTACAATATGCAGCTTTATAACCATGGAGAGTCATGTAACATATGATTCAAGATGGTTGTTGAATAAAATCAACATATCATAGATGGAACTCAATGCCGCAATTGATAATGTCATATTGAAAATAGACATATATATATATATATATATATATATATATATATATATATATATATATATATATATATATATATATATATATATATTAAGTCTTACTAAGATCACTAGTGTAGAAAGAGTATTTAACGTCTGTTATTTTGGTCTTTTAACGTCAGATCTAGATCCGACGTCTTTGTGGGTGACGTTAATCAGACATCAGACTCCACAGGTCCAACGTCTTTATAGACGTCGGATATGCATTAACCGACGTCTAAGGGTTCTATAGACGTCGGACATGGCATTAACCGACGTCTACTGCAGCTCATGTCTTTGGGTAGCTTAGTAGCACCTTCTTCCTTTGTTAGTTTCGTCATAGTAAATGTTGCGTCTTTTGAACCTCTTTTGGAATTTCAACCGAAAATCGAATCTGGGTCTTTGCCTAGTGTCATTCCAACCGGCAATGAAAACGAATACGGTGACTTGAGAACTAGGCAATGACCCAGGTTCGGTTTTGGATTGAAACGCTATAAGACGTCCAAAAGACGCAAGTTTTTCTTACGAGGAAACTAGCAAAGGGAAGATGTGCTACTACGCTACCCAAAGACATGAGAAAAACAACACCAAAACACAACAAAAACTCACTTTAATCGGTTCAAATGGAAGATAATCAATCAAAGACTACTTTAATCGGAGTAAAAGTATGTTTAAACGGTTCAAAAGAGACAAAAACGCACTGGAAATGCAATGCCGCAGAGAGAAAAGGCAAGAAGGAAGACGTTGAAGTGCACGTAACAGCGAGTTCGATTTCTAATTTAACAGCAAACAAGACGTTGGACACCTAAGGAACCGACGTCTATTCTCGCCTAGACGTCGGGGTCCTCACTAGTATGACGTCTAAAACAACTTTTCACCTACCCTGTCAGGCCATTTAGACGTCGGATGGCGGGATCCGACGTCTATATGACGGAAAAAAAGAACTTTTCATCTACGTGTCAGACATATACACGTCCGTTAGGAGGGGCATCGACGTCTATAATCATATATAGACGTCGGGTGGGGGATCAGACATTTATAAGGCAGAAAAAAAAGAACTTTTCATCTACTTGTCATACATATAGACGTATGTTCGGAGGGGCCCCGACGTCTCCGAACAGACGTCTATATACATACTTATTTACGAAAAGGCCACCGATCAATAATTTACGTTAATTATTTTGTGGTCCGACATTTTCGAGTGACGTTAAAAACTAATTCTGCAGAGTTATCCTACAAGAAGTCAGTCTACAGTAAATTGAATATAAAAGATTTAAACAAATAAAAGACAAAATTTAAATTCGATGAAAATAACATGAGATGAAGTAATTGTAAATGTGACTTGAGAATTAGACAATATCATAAGAACCTCTCATGCTCATTTATTTATTTTTTGGTTAATAAATTTTTGAAGATAATTTTTTTTAATTAGAAAAAAGGAATCACTAATCATAAACTATTAAATTAAGTTTATATATATATATATATATATATATATATTTGAATTTTTTTACTTAATTTATTAGAATAATATTTTAAACAAATAATTACAAACAAACTTATCCATTTTTTGTAATTTTATTTCATTTCATTCTTTTACGCTGTGACACTCTTAGCAACAGTGATGGAAGATTTTGAGGTTGAATCAGATAAAGTGTGAAAAAAAAATTAACATTATTATCCCCTCATTTTATAATGTGAAAAAATGTAATATAAATTAATAAAAACATTTTTAATAGAAAATGAGAGAAGAATTATTTAAAACAAAAGGTTAATCTCCATTTTCATCTTGTATGTACATGAATATTAATAGAATATTAACTGTGTAATTTATGTATAAAATATAATTTATTATATAAATATTAATAAAATATTATAATATAACTAGTTATATTAAATATTAATAATGTATTCATAATATAGTTAATTATATTAAATATAAATAATATATTTATAATATAATTGATCGTGTAATATATATATATATATATATATATATATATATATATATATATATATATATATATATTAATAAAATATACATATGTATATATTAATAAAATATTTACTATTAGTGGAAATATAAATAATTGATTATATAGTTT